CCTAATATTACACTGGCCAAATCTATCTCTTTAGCTTCTGTAAACCAGGTTGAGAAAGTATATTCGGCTCCATCTACCTTGAACATATCTTTTGCAGTCCGAATTCCATTTTGCCATATTACACAATGTTCTTTGTTATCGGGAAATGGGACTGGCCATAGTACTTCTATATCTAAATCTAGAAAATGATAAACTTGAGGATCTGGATTACTAGGCTCGTTATTATTTGATTCCATTAGATCGAACCATTCTTTTTCTGTTTTTGGTATAAGTTTTGATCTGATTTTTTTATTATTTTTTATTCCCGGGTTTGTAAACATTTTATTAGCTCATCTATTGTTAAAAATGTTTTTTCTTTTTGTTCTCTGTTAGATTAAATTTTTGAATCTGGAATATCACTAGTTGGAAAGTCAACTACTGGTATATTTGACACATTCGGGTAGTATGTTGGTATATTTTTATTAAATGAAATTAGATCGCCTATAGGAGTCGGGTTTTCAGGTAATGGTGTATTTTGTAATGAAGTTGAAGCTGGTATAATATTTTGTATTGGTATAGGTAAATTTCGAGATAAGCATAGTTTTTCTTAATTTGGATTTAAATGCTTATCTCGGTCTCGGTTTTTTAAAAAGTTTTTTTTTCCACAATTAGGGCATGGACTCACAGAAATTCATCAGCAAAAAATAAATGATTGGGAGAAAAAAATACGCATTCCAGGTGCTCGAGTGCAATATGTAGCAGAGTTAGAAAAAATTCTTAAACGACTGATTAAATTACTTGATAAACTCATGGTACTATATTTAATAGTAGAAAGTATCGATCAGATAAGTATGAAGAAATCAGAATGGTAGTTCATAATGGCCATACATTTCCAAGAAACCAGCACTTCCTAAGAGATCGAATGGTCAAATATTATAAGAGTGATATATGGGAAACTATCAGTAATGCTCTCAGGGGACCTCAAGCAATCTGGCTTATGAGAGTGGGGATACGAGTCAAACAATATTCCAGTTTGTTCTAGAAGATGGTCGCATATTTAGAACATGGAAAAAGCATACAGAAATTATAGAAGCATGCAAACAACTGGTCAATGATATAATAGATTGGCAATATCAGAAAGGAATAATCAATAAGGAAAAGAAATCGATTCTTTTAGAGTCTCTAAAAGTTGTTGATTTAGCAGAGCAGATATTTGGTGCAAACCATGCTGGAAGCCGACTCGCTAATGAAATTAATGAATGGCATCCAATATCTGGAAAAGTAAATAAAAATATAAGGCAAGCCTGTGTCGAGCATGGGCATGGTGGACGCTGAAATGCACCTGATTATCATGTCAATGATTTCGTATATATCGATATGAAAGAATGTTATCTAGCAAGTATGCGAGGTCAAGGAGAATATACACCATGGTTCAATAGGTTCAAACATCCAACACACTACCTTGTTCGAGTTGCGGTAAATGGAGAATTGCCGAATGATAATATCACTAGATTTGCGCAGGTAAGATCTTTTAAATTTGCATCAAATATACATTCAGCAATTCCTGTCTGGTACAGAAAACATTTTGCGTGTCGAAGTGAAGAAGGATATGGGAAAGAAAAAGAATGGGCACCTATTGTACTTCTATGATATCTTCTTGAGGTTGGTATTCTAGAAAGTGTGACTATTGGAGAGGCAATAA